TTTCGGCTGAACAGGAAGTTGTAGGAAGGGTTAATAAATATTTATATAATAAATTTAAATTTGAATAAGAATTTAATTGATTTAAAAGTCGGTATGGTAATATAAAAGAAAATTTTATCCATTTTTTTATTTTGGTCATGATTTCGCTGTTGATATTTTCTTTGGTAATTTGATCGTTTGCAATACCTTTAATTATATACAATTACAAATAAAATATCAATAAATTACTTTCATCAATATATAACGCGTCATTCTTTTTAACTTTTAAAAGATCTTCGCAAAAAATGATTGATTGAGACTCCAAATATAAAGCAGCGAAAATCATTATATTCATCAACAATGTTTTGGACATCCAATTGATAAGTATTACAAATTTCGGATATTTGCCATCCTTCTATTTTTTCATTATCCATAATTCCAGCGGGAGTAAAAATGGATATCTGTGATAAAAAATTTAAACAATCATAATTAAATCGATCATTTAGGTGATTAATTATTGCATTTAGAACAGGGAAAAATATTTCCGTTCTATATCTATAATAATAAATAATAATTTAAATTTTTTTAATTTATTCAACTTGTTTTTTTTTGTTCAACATAATTATTGAATTCTGTTTGATCCAATTTGAATATTGATTTCATATTATACAAATCAGTTATTACATTATTCTTTTTCAAAAAACTATTAGATAAGGAATGTAATTTTAAAAATATATTGTCTCCATTAGCTATATTTTAAAATTATTTATAGAAATAGTAACTAATATTAACCTTTTAGTTTTTGTAATTTATTTTTTGTATGTTGTATTAATTTGGTTACCAAAGCCAAATCATTACCAACTGCCTGCATTTCAATACAAGCCTCATGTGTACATTTCAATATTTCTTTCAAAATAAAAAGACTTAATATAAAATTTTCATCTTTAATTCTTGATAATAACCCATCGGCAATGGAAGAGGTGCTTGGGTCTATAGAATCTTTTAATTCAACTAATGATGCTAAAATATGTTCATAAACATCTAAAAAGATTTCTACAGATTTGTAGGATGATGACCAATTTCTGAAAATATATAAGTTTCAAGTTTCATTAAAAATATTTTATTTACCTTGTTGTGTTTTTAATTCTTTTAAGAGATTTCTTGGACTTTCTCATTTGATATTTAACAAACACACCTTGACGTCTAACTCCATTCATAAAATTATATAACTCATCTAATATTCCCATTGCCTTTTTCATTTCAATTTTGCATCCACAAACATGAGCAACTACTAAATTTAGCCGATGTGCATGGCACCAAATATCGAAGGCTTTTGGAGCCTCTTTCAATATTAAAGCCTGCATTCCTTTGTATACTCCTCTCATATTCCCTGCACCATCCATACTTTGTCCAACCAAATAATCAAGAGGAAGACCAAGATCATTAAACTTAGAAAAAACATGTTTCTTTATATTTTCCCCAGTGGTTTCTGATGTTGTAAAAACATGTATGATCCTTTCTACAGGATGTGGATGCAGATCATCTTCTATACACCGTACAAGCAAAGCTAGGCATTCTTTTTTAGACACATCATATGTTCCATCTAATATGAAGCTATAGGCACGATTCTCTTTAATTGTTTGAATAATGCTTTTTGTTATTTTTATCTTAATAATTTCAGTTATTTTTTTCACGTGGCCATATGACAGTAAATTTATATAAGGTCTCGAAATATTATCTGATTTTTTTCTCCGCAATTTTTCGTTGTTATCCATGTATGCACGTAAAGTTGGAACCGTTTTTGCCATTAATTTTATGAGACACATAAAATTACCTTCATTCGAATTAGAACCCCAAAAGGCTATATTACATTTTATAAGGTACATAATGGCATTGATAATATTATGAACTATATTACGATTTTCCATGATTATATCAAGCTTATTTGATAGCAAATGATCTTGAATGCGTTTATTTGCAAACCAAGTCATGTTTGCATATTCACTCTTTATGAAGAGAAGATGCTTCGTGTCTCTCTAAGTCACGCTTTATGTTTTTCCAATTATTTACCCCATGTTGAGTCCAAAAAGTATTGGACTTAGGGCCACCAAACATAATACAATATAGACAAAAGACTTTGTCTAAAGTAGTGCTATAAGATAGCCAATTTCTGGGGTTGAGGGAACCATCTATATTAACCTTTCTATAATAGGTTATATTCATGCTCCTGTTTAAAAAGTAAAAAAAAATATATTGGTATAGAAATAATGGATGGGTAAAAATTAATGAAAATAAATATTATTTAAAACCTCTTGTTAGTAACAGGATATTGAAATTTATTTGTACATGGCTGACAAGGGCCTACAGCAATTATGAAATTTATCAAAATATTTGTCATCCTAAATAATATAAAGTGAAAAGGGTCATTTGGTTCATTTTTTTTGTATAGCTGAATAAGACTTGGACTTTGAATATCCTCATAATTTATTCCCTTCAAAAGTCATTATATAAATTTTATTTAAATATAATGCCTCATGCAAAGTAAGTGCCTCACTAGAACCGGGGATTGGATGAGGAGATAATACAATTTGTGAATCTTCAATATTGGAGATTTGAAATAAAGAGTATAATTTGTTTACTTATGAAAATCTATTTTTAATATAATTTCAGCCAAATGGTCATTTTATTCTTAGCTACATTATAATTAAGTTAATCAATAAATGTTGGAAATATTTAAATGTCCTAATTTATTTTCTTCAAAAGTTATCATATAATTCGTATTTAAATTAAATACCTTATCATGCAAAGTAAGCGCCTCACTGGAACTGGGGATTGGATGAGAAGATAATACAATTTGTGAATCTTCAATATTGGAGATTTGCTATAAAGAGTATAATTTGTTTACTTATGAAAAACTATATTTTTAATAAAATTTTAGTCAAATGGTCATTTTATTCTTAACTACATTATAATTAAGTTTTTAATAAAGGTTGGAAATATTTAATTAACCTCATAATCATAATTTATTTCTTTCAAAAGTTATCATATAATTCGTATTTAAATTAAATACCTCATCATACAAAGTAAACACCTCACTGGAACTGGGGATTGGATGAGGAGATAATACAATTTGTGAATCTTCAATAACTGAGATTTTCTATAAATAAAGAGGAGTTTAATTTCTTTCCTTATGATAACTATATTTTTAATAAATTTTTAGGCAAATGATAATTTTTTTTAACTACATTATAATTAAGTTTTTAATAAATGTTTTAATTCTACATGAATACATGATTGAGAAAACAGGTATTAAAAATATTATGAAGTCCAACATAAAGTTATCAGGTTACAATGGAAAGATGATACAAGTAATAGGTCAAGCACAAGTGAATGTAAAATACAAAGGGAATTCACATATTTTGAACGCAATAATCATAAACATCAATATGACTTTGTTAGATCATGTAAAAACATTTTTAAAATATACTTGAAAGATTCATAGGCATGATAGATGCAGATTAATATAAAACTGCGATCACATGAAGAAATCATAAAACAATATTATAATGACTATAAAAATAAAAACAATATTAAGTATAAATAAAATTGTGAAATTCATGATGAAAGTATATTATCTAAAGAAATTCTAATAGCTAAATAATCCAATGATAATAAACATACCTAATATAACACATAATGTAAATAAAGGGGATGAAACTCACACAGATAACATTTTGAAAATAGTTGATTCCAAATCATATTTTATAAGATTTATATTTAAAAAAGTAAAAGAATTTGAAGTCTTAATTCAATTAAAGATGAAAAGATTTAAATTTAAAAATTCCTAGAAATTAACATTACCTTATTTTACTACATTATATTAACTTAATAAGTTTTTTTAATACTTTGGTTTTAAACTATTATTATTAACTTATTAAACATATTGTTAAATTGAACTTTATAAAGTATATATAGATATAAAAATAGTGTGATAAACAGTTAAAAAACATTAAATAATAATATATATAATTTATTTTCTCTATACCCTGACTACTTTAATATTAATATTATTCTGGTAAAATTTTAAATCAGTTTCTATTAATTAACAAATTTATAGTTTTACAATAATAAATAAAAATATTACTTTTTGGAAGTAAGATGTTATTATCTTTTTTTTGCAACTATGTTTCAACTCCATTTGTGATATTATATGGAATATCACAATTTAAAGATACCCAATTATTATTATCTCTTTTGATGGCTACCTTTGTAAATTTCATATCAGCTGGCTTGACATGAGGATGTTTATGTTTATAATGTTCATGTATCTTGTCACTTCTTATTTTAGAAGTTTTGCAATTTTTAATATTGCACTTAACTTTAAATATGGTTTTGTTACTTGGCATCTAGAAAGAAATAATTATTATAATATAATTTTTTACATATTATGTTTTTTATTATTCTTTGATTGCTGATATATGTTTTTATGCATGACTCAAAAAATTACCTAAAATTTATCCTGCTAAAATCTATAAATTTATTATAAAACATAATATAAATATATTAACCTCTAAGAAAAGTACCAAATAGGAAATGTGTAAATATTAACTTGATAAAATGCTAAATGAAAATCGTTGACAAAGAAAATTTATATTATTTATTAATTGACAAATATCTTTACTTTAATTGACATTTTTCAGAAAATCAAACGATAACCATCATAATCGTATCAATTAATGGATTAAAAAAAGATTATAATTCAAATCAAAAATTACCCACCAAAAATCAATACCTACCCCCAAAAAAATAATGCCTACCCCCAAAAAATTAATATCAACCCCTTAAAATCGATACCTACCCCCAAAAATGCTAATATATTTTGGAGGCATTTGTCTCCTCCCCCCCCCCCCCCGGCCATGTAGACGCTGCTTAGCAATACATTTAAAAAGTAATAAATCTGTCAATTATTGAATATCAATTGTCTGATATCATCTCTGAATTACTTTATAATATTGTTGTAATTCTATCCTGAGCGACCTCAACATATGTTGATGATAAAAGTAATCAAAAAATATCCGTCAATAATCTATATAACACGATACAAACTTTGTTCCTACACTCCAAAAAAGTTATTAAATATAATAAATTTTATATAAATTTTCCTTTCAGAAAAAAATTTCCTTATATAAAAACATTAACTGCATTAGGATTAATATCCACATCAGGTGTTTTAATTTACTCATATTATGAACCAGAAACTCGCAAACAAATTGAAAATACGATTCCATTCACTCAAACAATTTTTGATTATATATTAGGATCATCTGATAAAGAGTATATAAATTGCTGAAGCATATATATATATATATTATATTAAGTAAAAAAAAACAAGGGGTAATTAAACAGGTCGGTGACCTAAATAATCAAATAAGCAAAAAAATCACATCTGCAATAAATTATGTTGGCAAAAAAAAAGATATTGTTGAAAATAAAATTGATGAAACTTTTAAACAAACAATGGAAGTTCTTCCATTTAAGCCTCAAACTTCTAAACATATAGATCATAATGATAAACAAGAACAGCTACAGGAAAAAAGTATTTTATTTAAAACAGGCTTAAATAATTTATTTAAGAAAATGAACCAATTTTGGAGGATTTAAGACAATTAAAGCCAATATATAATGTTGATGCAGGTCAATACTTTTCTGTTGTCATTATTAATTCATAAATTTAATTATACAGATATATATAAAGCATTAGAACAAGCAATGATTAATATTGATGAAAAAATTCATCTGGCTAATAATATAATTAAGGAATATATAAATCATGTTAAACATCAGATAGATACCTTAAAAAATCTAATGGAAAACACTGATGAAGTAAATAATGGCTTAATAATTTTAATGTCTAATATAAAAAAGATTGAAGAAGAAAAACTTAAATGGAAAGAACTTGGCAAGATGCAGGATAAAAAATCTGACATATCTAAATTAAAGGAAAAGGCAATAAATTCTGTTAAGTAATTGCTTTAAAAATTTATATATAAAATATTTTATATAAAAAGAGCTGAAATTCTTCAATTTCAAAATATATTCAAAGAAAATAAAAATAGTACTAAAGATGATGCTAAATTAAATAAGTATCAACTTATTTTAGATGAAACAATTAAAAATTTTGAAGATTATCAAAAAGAAGTAAAATTTATTTGATAAAATAATTAGGGCTGTGCCGATCCACATATTTTTCACCGATCCGATCCGATATTTTCCGTTGGTTCAAACCCGATTCGATACCGATACCGATCCGATATTTATATTAATTTTTCACCACCCCAATGTAATTAATAAATCAATATTTTTTATGCATAAAAGAATTATGCATAATTTAATTTTTTTATTTCAACAATAATTTAAAAAAATATATATAATAATATATCCATTTTATGTTGGTTTATAAAATTGTAATATTTAATATATAAAATTATAATATATTAGATTTTTTAAAATAAATATAAGAGCCTCTAGATTTTTAGGCAATAGGCTTCTACGATGAGGACTATCAATATCCCCTGCCATACTGAAGGCAGACTCAGATGGGACACTTGTTGCTGGAGGAGCCAAAAATTTACGTGCAAGTGTTGATAAAGTTGGATATTTTACAGCATTAACTCTCCAATATTCAAGTGGATTCACTGGGGATATAATATCAATATCATCAATGTTATTCAAGTTTTCTAAATAAATAACACAAATATAAAATTAGCATTTATAAAATAGTGGGTTTCATACAAACCCAATCTTTTGTTGATTTTGAAAAATCACCCAAACAAAAGGGTCAATCATAGCCCAACCAAGCAATATTTAAATTAATATGAAAAATATGTTGTTATACTTTCTATATATAAAGATTCTTTTAAATATTCCTTGATTTCTATTAGGTATGGCAGGTCATCATTTACATTACTATCGATTTCATTTATTACTAGTTTTTCTTTGATTTTCAATTTATAAGCATCCCTTAAATTAAATTTGCATTTTTTAATGTTATGTGGAACATTTTTCTCATTGTCATTACCTAAGTTAACAATAAAATCTAAATTTATTTTAAAAAATATAAAACCTGGCGAATCTTTATTAGAAATTGGAAGTTGAACATTATCATCACCTTTAAAAAAAGACTCACATGCAGTCCTGAGATTTTCTATGTATGATATGTTTTTTGGCAAAAAGAAATCCTTATATCGAGGATCAAGTAATGTTGCGACAACATAATTGTCATCATCATAAATATCAAAAAACCGAGTTGTTAATTGATTATTAATGGTATGACACCAACTCGGATTCACCTTCCATTAAATCAAAAGGAGTTCGATTTATCTCAGCTAATGAACAGATCAAAAAGGAAACTAATAGATATAGTATATATTTAAGTTATAAATTCTTCAAACTCATAACTTATCACCACTAATCCTATTAGTAAAAAAATAAATCTTATAATTAACTCGTAAGAAACAGCTTGTCTTACCGCTCGCATACCCCTTAATATAGAAAATTTCGAATTTCTTAATCAACCCCCTATAATCAAAAAATAAACGCTCACCCCTATTAATATAATAAACACTAATAATGGGTAATCGTTTATTAGAGCGAGATCTTTAGGTCAGCACAAATTCGAAAAGGACCAAATAAAGTCCTAGTGATAGGACTGGTGCAGCCATTCATAGATGCCATCCCAAATTAGGATTATCGATAATGAACAGCTGTACCGCCTTTTTTTGTTCTATCAATCTTTCGAGCATATAATAGGTAGAATCCCAACGGGTGGGCACATCCTGGATTAATTTGTGCTGGGCTAGACTTAATCGAATTTGGATTTCTTTTAGACAATTTTGTGCAATAGAAGAATGTTTAAAGTGTTTTACTATTTTTCTAACTCGGGCAAGCATGTCAATAATAGATCTCTGTGATAAAATTGCTGCCTGTGCAACCAATTGCAAACTATGTGCAAAACAAGAAACGCTTTGAAATTTCCCATTTTTCATGGCCAAAGTTATATTGGGTGCATTATCTCTAATGATTAGGTGTATTTTATTTTTCTTTATACCCCAATAATTAATAATTTCATCTAAAATTTGAGCAATATTTATTGCTGTATGCGACTCATTAAATGTTTTAACATTTAGAACTCTATTAATTTGTTGAAAATTTTGGTTTATATAGTAGCATGTTAATGAGATGTGAGAATCGCCACCTGAATTTCTAGTCCATATATCTGCCGTAAAGGATAAAAAAGAATCGTCAACCAAAATTTCTTTACGAATTTTTTCGGAGAGTTTTTCATATATATCCGGAATAACTCCTTGCGAAAAATACTTTCTATTGGGAATTTTGTAATTTGGACATAAATGATGTAAAAGCCTTTTAAAGCCTATATCCTCCAAGATAGAAATCGGCTGGTGGTCACACGCTATCATTTCCCCTATAAATTTAGAAATTATTATTGATTTAGGATCAGAATGTTTCCAAATATTAGTTTTATTAAGAATGGCTGATATTGTTGGCTGACTTTCAGGGCTCTTTTTTTTAAAAATTTGATTTGTTTTTTTTTCTAATATTTCTCGTTCTTTTTGTGATAGCTCTTCGAATTCCTTTTGATGGCAACGCTTCAGATGTTTCCTAATGTTAGTTGTATTGAACGAATTTTTCAGTATTCCTCCCCGTGAAATTAGAATTCCGCAGATGACGCATTTTGCAAAATTACCTTCATCTTTATCAAAATATTTCCATAATTCAGAAACCATATTTAAAATAATTTTTATTTAAAGTATAAATAATAAAATTGGTGTTATTTTTTTAAAAAATTAAAAATAAATAAAACTTTGGGTGTTCCTTTCTATTTTTATAAAAAAACTTGTAAAATCTATTTAAAAAAATAAATAACATTTGCATTGTTTAAAAAAAAATTATTTATAAAATAGGGCTGTGCCGATATTAAATATCGAATCGGTCCCGATATTTGGCGTTTTTCAAAAATATCGGATCGGCCCGATACCTGTAAAAAACCCGATCCGATCCGATCCTTTTACTAAAAATGCAATTCTTATAAAACTTTTGAAGTAATGAAACTTTGAATTATTATTTTTTAATAAAAAAAATTTTTTTAAAATATTTAAAAAAAAAATAAATTTTTTCGAGTTTCTATTTTACATTAATAATATTTTATAAATAATTTTTTTTTAAACAATGCAAATGTTATTTATTTTTTTAAATAGATTTTACAAGTTTTTTTATAAAAATAGAAAGGAACACCCAAAGTTTTATTTATTTTTAATTTTTTAAAAAAATAACACCAATTTTATTATTTATACTTTAAATAAAAATTATTTTAAATATGGTTTCTGAATTATGGAAATATTTTGATAAAGATGAAGGTAATTTTGCAAAATGCGTCATCTGCGGAATTCTAATTTCACGGGGAGGAATACTGAAAAATTCGTTCAATACAACTAACATTAGGAAACATCTGAAGCGTTGCCATCAAAAGAAATTCGAAGAGCTATCACAAAAAGAACGAGAAATATTAGAAAAAAAAACAAATCAAATTTTAAAAAAAAGAGCCCTGAAAGTCAGCCAACAATATCAGCCATTCTTAATAAAACTAATATTTGGAAACATTCTGATCCTAAATCAATAATAATTTCTAAATTTATAGGGGAAATGATAGCGTGTGACCACCAGCCGATTTCTATCTTGGAGGATATAGGCTTTAAAAGGCTTTTACATCATTTATGTCCAAATTACAAAATTCCCAATAGAAAGTATTTTTCGCAAGGAGTTATTCCGGATATATATGAAAAACTCTCCGAAAAAATTCGTAAAGAAATTTTGGTTGACGATTCTTTTTTATCCTTTACGGTAGATATATGGACTAGAAATTCAGGTGGCGATTCTCACATCTCATTAACATGCCACTATATAAACCAAAATTTTCAACAAATTAATAGAGTTCTAAATGTTAAAACATTTAATGAGTCGCATACAGCAATAAATATTGCTCAAATTTTAGATGAAATTATTAATTATTGGGGTATAAAGAAAAATAAAATACACCTAATCATTAGAGATAATGCACCCAATATAACTTTGGCCATGAAAAATGGGAAATTTCAAAGCGTTTCTTGTTTTGCACATAGTTTGCAATTGGTTGCACAGGCAGCAATTTTATCACAGAGATCTATTATTGACATGCTTGCCCGGGTTAGAAAAATAGTAGGACACTTTAAACATTCTTCTATTGCACAAAATTGTCTAAAAGAAATCCAAATTCGATTAAGTCTAGCCCAGCACAAATTAATCCAGGATGTGCCCACCCGTTGGGATTCTACCTATTATATGCTCGAAAGATTGATAGAACAAAAAAGGGCGGTACAGCTGTTCATTATCGATAATCCTAATTTGGGAAATCTCTCATTATATGAATGGGAATTAGCAGAAAGGGTAATTGATGTTCTTGAACCAATTCAGAGAGTAACAAAAGAAATAAGTACGGAATCATGTTCAATTAGCAATGTTATACACTTTGTTGAAATTCTGAAAAGTGAATTAACAATTAATGGGGACACAGATAGAGGTGTGCAGACTATGAAGAATACCACTAATAATCAATTAACAACTCGGTTTTTTGATATTTATGATGATGACAATTATGTTGTCGCAACATTACTTGATCCTCGATATAAGGATTTCTTTTTGCCAAAAAACATATCATACATAGAAAAGCTCAGGACTGCATGTGAGTCTTTTTTTAAAGGTGATGATAATGTTCAACTTCCAATTTCTAATAAAGATTCGCCAGGTTTTATATTTTTTAAAATAAATTTAGATTTTATTGTTAACTTAGGTAATGACAATGAGAAAAATGTTCCACATAACATTAAAAAATGCAAATTTAATTTAAGGGATGCTTATAAATTGAAAATCAAAGAAAAACTAGTAATAAATGAAATCGATAGTAATGTAAATGATGACCTGCCATACCTAATAGAAATCAAGGAATATTTAAAAGAATCTTTATATATAGAAAGTATAACAACATATTTTTCATATTAATTTAAATATTGCTTGGTTGGGCTATGATTGACCCATTTGTTTGGGTGATTTTTCAAAATCAACAAAAGATTGGGTTTGTATGAAACCCACTATTTTATAAATGCTAATTTTATATTTGTGTTATTTATTTAGAAAACTCGAATAACATTGATGATATTAATATTATATCCCCAGTGAATCCACTTGAATATTGGAGAGTTAATGCTGTAAAATTTCCAACTTTATCAACACTTGCACGTAAATTTTTGGCTCCTCCAGCTACAAGTGTCCCATCTGAGTCTGCCTTCAGTATGGCAGGGGATATTGATAGTCCTCATCGTAGAAGCCTATTGCCTAAAAATCTAGAGGCTCTTATATTTATTTAAAAAAATCTAATATATTATAATTTTATATATTAAATATTACAATTTTATAAACCAACATAAAATGGATATATTATTATATATTTTTTTTAAAATTATTGTTGAAATAAAAAAATTAAATTATGCATAATTCTTTTATGCATAAAATATATTGATTTATTAATTACATTTGGTTCAAAGAGGGGTGGTAAAAAATTAATATAAATATCGGATCGGTATCGGATCGGGTTTGAACCAATATCGGAAAATATCGGATCGGATCGGTAAAAAATATGTGGATCGGCACAGCCATATTATAAAATATTATTAATGTAAAATAGAAATTCGAAAAAATTTATTTTTTTTTAAAATATTTTAAAAAAATTTTTTTTATTAAAAAATAATAATTCAGTTTCATTACTCAAAAGTTTTATAAGAATTGCATTTTTAGTAAAAGGATCGGATCGGATCAGGTTTTTTACAGGTATCGGGCCGATCCGATATTTTTGAAAAACGCCAAATATCGGGACCGATCCGATCCGATATTTAATATCGGCACAGCCTTAAAAATAATTATGCATTAACACATTTACAAATTTAATTCTAAAAAAATATAATAGGCAAGAGAAATAGAGAGTAATGCCAGGATATTTCTTAATTACAAGACTTTGTTGGATGATGCCAAAGAACAATTTAGAAAAGAATTACAAAGTCTATATCCAAAATTTGAGATAGGAAAATGGACTTTATATGGTTTTTTTTTAAAAAAAAAATTAATATTTTTTAATATTTTATTTATAGAAAATTTTTATATTTTGCCAAAAGCAGATTTACTTTTCATAAGCATTGGGCTAAACACTTTAGACCAAATGAGGATCAGTCTTTTCACTATGCTTTTTACTATGTTTTAAAGATGTCTTAAACTAGAATGGAAATGATTTTAGTGGAATTGAACAAGAAACAAGTTTGATTTAAAAAAAAAGTATTACCAACAATTTTAAATCACTGTTTTCATCTGAACTTGTTTAACCTAGGATCTATTAATGATTTCATTCTACCTAGAAATAGACTTCTGCCTTTGTACCAGAGTGATCTCTAAATGATATTATGGACTTTATGATCAGTCCAGTGGATCTTTAAATTTGATTATATATTTTTTTATATTGCTTACCAAAAGTAAATCAGCTTTGGACGTAATTTTCTTCACCTGAATATTTAATAAAAAAAATAAATAATATATCAAGGAACAGACTACACTAAAGACGACCTTAATACCCTATTGATTCATGCACACAAGAAAATCAATCTTTTTCAAAAAGAATTAGCAAAGCAAAAGGTAATTTTTTCATTCATTTTGCACTTCAAATCGTTTATTACCTAAATTTCTAAAAAAAATTAAATTTACCACTTTTGAAGAAACGTTATTATTTTAAGCAGAGTTTTTAAACCAGGACAAAATAGGGTTAGGGTTCCGCTTTCAAAATTTGATGCGGTTCAGAGGGTTCCAAACTTTTATAATAATTTAGACGCTATAAAATGATTCACACAACATTTTAAACAATAAATATAGCGTCGATTTCTTTTTTTTAGAATTTTTCAGGAGAGCATTTAAAATATCTCTTGTATTTTGGTTAGGAGAGTAAAGGATTATTCTATATTTTATGAGTTTTTTATTGGTGATATGGAATGGAAGAATACTTTACTAAAGGATTGATTTATCGAAAAAAAAAATGCATTTTGCAAAAAGTGTATGGAACATTATAATACTCCTTTGACGATATGTAAACTATACTCACGTTTTTATTAGAAGTAATTCATGAATTCTATAAATTTCAGAGACCCGCAAGCCCTGCCCGTGTACCGAGACCGGGCAGTATTTTAATTTGTTTAAATATACCTGGGTTAGGCCTAAAAATTTTTCAAAAAAATACCTGGGCCGGGCTTTATATTTTAAAACAAAATATTATTAGTTATAAAAATTAAAAATAAATATAATATATTTAAAAAAAATCCGGGCTGGGCCATGCAAATGGTACCTCTGCAGGTCTCTGATAAATTATAAAAGTAGGTTTTAGGTTCTGGCTCCTAGATTTGTCTTGGTTCCAGTTCCAAAGTGAAGCTTTTTCAATTCCATATATTACAACATTTCACTACGTGATTTTTAGTAGCTGTGCCGATATTAAATATAGGATCGGCACCGATACTTAGCGTTTTCCAAAAATATTGGATCGGACCGATACCTTCAAAAAACCGACCCGATATTTTTACTTTTCTTTTTTTTTTGTTATTTTATGTTATGTATATTTATTTTATATAATTATAATATTTTTTTTTATCTATATCAGAGACCTGCAGAGGTACCATTTGCACGGCCCGGCCTGGCCCGGTTTTAAATTTTTTAGGCCCGGCCCGGATATTTAAAAAAAAAATTTTTTACGGCCCGGATTTAAAAATTTAAGGCCCGGCCCGGATTTAAAAATTTAAGGCCCGGCCCGGATATTTTTTAAAATTATATTCGACCTGGTATATACAAAAATTAACCTATGAGGTATTTTACCATATTTTTCAGCGAGTATTATCGCTTATTATTTAAAAAATACATGTAAAAAGCTAATATTTTGAGAATATTATATTGAATTTATAAAAATTATAAAACTGTTATTTATAAAAATGGATATTTTGAGCATATACTATATTTTATATTGCATTTATAAAAATAAAACTAATATTCATAAAAATGGTAATAATATTTGTCATATACTATATTTTATATTACATTTAAAAAAAATAAAACTAATATTTAATTTATAAAAATGGAAAATATTTTGAGAATATAATATATTGTATTTAATTTACTATTTAATTTATAAATTAAATAAATCGCTATTTAAAAAAATGCATGTATAATAAATAGTATTTTGAAAATATAATCTAATTGCACAATATTAATATAATTTATTTTATAATATAAATTTTTAACAAAAGAAGATAATTGTATTATATAATATTGTAAAAAAAATAATGAAAAATGTTGGATTAAAAACTTTCTTGACTCAAGGTAAATATAATAAATGCAATAAATATTTGACAGTTTGCTAAGTAAAAAACCAGCATGATTGACGAAACCCTATACTCAAGAAAGATATTAAAAATTCACAAACTATCACGAAGAAAGAGAAGCATATCTACCTTTTCAGGTTGAAGATTACTTATTCTTTCTTCAAGAATTCTCCCAGTAGTGGAAAAATTCCGCTCACAGCTTGCACTTAAAGCAGAATTCGCTTTGATGAGCCGCCCACCACTCTAACAAATTATCCACCTTAAATGTTTCATCTATTTTTTTATTTATGTAATTATAATATTCATCATCGGGTATTGACATATTACCAGAATTACCATCGCCCCATTTGTCATAAAACGATTCAGTTTGTTTAACAACAGTCGTAATTTGACTGGTCGATGGTATTTCATTTACTTCCTGAGCCTCTTGTAATTTAATATAATCTTTTATATAGTTTTCCGTCATCTTGCGATCTGTCCCTTACTACATACGTAATTGCTTGAATTTGGGACAGAGAAAAAGAGAAATAAAATGATACTTGTGTAAAACAAATTTTTCAATTAAAAAATGCTTTATATTAAGTAAAATCAATTTTATTTCTCCTTTTTCGCTTTGAAAGGGTAATACAAACTTCAAGAAGTGATATTCCTTTATTTGATTGTTTTGGTAAAATGAATCCCGGAAAATAATTCCCCGGAAAATAAATCCCCAGGATAATAATTCCCCGGAAAAAAATTCCTCAGAAAATAATTCCCAGGTAAATAATTCTCCGGAAAAAAAATCCCCGGAATAAAATTCCCCTGGAAAATAATTCCCCGGAAAAAATTTCCCCACTATAGATTGAATTGCTAATGCATTGCTAAACTGCATTGCTAAAAGGCAATCAATCATTATCAACTATAAATCAATCAAAAATTTATTACGTATATTTTTTTAATGATAATTTTTTAAATTTTTTTTAAATTATATTTAAATCATTTTTTTATTATAAATGAAGAATACTGATTAAATGATATAGTATATAATTTTATTTTTATTTAATATTATTAATAAGAAATTTATTTTTCTAGCTTATTAAAACAAATATACATTTTATTCAATTTTAAAAATTAACAAATATATATCCGTAAGAGGGCGTTATATGTTTTAATATGTATCATTTTAGGAAACCGGAATGATGATTGGATAGCATTTTTTTTATATTTGGGTATATATATACATATGAAAAACCTAAAAATTAAAAATTTTTTTTAGGTTTCTTTGATGTTTAATGAGTAGGTTTAGAATAGTAAAACAATGGAAATTTTTTAAAGTAAATATTGCTGGCGTTATTTATCAAAATCTCTTCATTTTTGTTTTATACGTGTATATTTACGTGCTAAGCATTATTCTAAAAAATATTTTGAAAATAATTTGATTTGACCGATTGCCGAGCTCAAAACCGATCACTCACTAAATATTCGATTGACCAAATTTATTAGGAATATAATTTGAAAAATGTTGATTTTCGTTTTATATATCTATAAATACGTATAAAACATAATCCTAATAATTCTTCAGAATTAATTTTATCAAAATTTTTAAATATTTTATTTGAGAATTATTATTTCGTTGATTTATTTATAGGGAATTTTTTCTCCTAATTTTGTAATTTTAATTATCTTAAAAACGGAGATTTTTTTTCCGGGGAATTATTTTTCTAGATTCTTTTTTAATATAGCTTACATTTAATATATTTATTGTAGCTTTCGTTCTCTTCGCTACACTGCACAAGGTACGATTCCCAAACAATTTATTTTAAATGAAATAGTTACATTTCTCATATTTAAATAAATATATTATGCTAAGCTAACCTATCTCATATTTTACTTTTAATAAACCTTTTATCGGTCCGTTGTCTCACCCCCTCCTTCATTATTATATAGGATTTAACTTGTAATATACAATAAATTTATTGAATTTAAAACAAATTAAACAATAACATAAAATTTATCGAATTTAAAAACATTTAATGGTAAATCTAAATATATTTCCGCGAATATGAAGTTGATGATTTATTTTCAAAAAAGATACTCCAGCAGTAGTCCGCCAACATATTTATACGATTCTTGCCGGGAATTTAAATTGAAAACTTAAGACCCCCCAGAACGAAATTCTTTACCATTTTTCTCAAAAAGCAATCGATAAAAAATTATAAAAATTAATAAATTTATAAGGAAATATAAATCTAACACTATCACCAATTTTCAGGGATTTTCATTTGATACCTTTTAAAATATATCCGTATTACCATTTTTGAGATTTCGAAAAGTTGCCTTTATACGATAATATTTTTAAAACTTGACGTGAAGGGAAAACTTAGAAAACGAATTCGAACTCAATGTCAAATTCTGCACCAAAACTTGTTTTTATTTATTTTTTCTCCCATTTTTCTTGTCACACAGTACAATTAATAAAAATTGATAAAGACATAAATATTAAATAAAACCTATACAATAATTTTAATCTATATTTTTTCAACTTTTAGGTAGAGATATCAACATCCAAGGATGTTTTTATCATCTAACTCAATCAACTCATAGAAAGATTCAGGAATTGGGGTTAGAATCATCATATCGGAATGATCCAATGTTATGCTTATTTGCAGCTATGATCGATGGATTAGCATTCTTACCTATACACGATGTCAAACGAGGTATGGAGTATTTAAAAATCATTGTATCGGATGAAAACAAAGAATTATTGTTTTATTTTGATAAAAATTATGTGAATGGAGAATTGAGACATGGGAAAAACTCTCAAAGGCAAGTAGAGCCATTGTTCCCACCAGAAACATGGAATGTGTTCAATGTTACGATTGCTGGGGAAAATCGAACAAACAATGTACGTGAAGGATGGAATAACCGATTTAAGCATATTGTAGGCAACAAAAAACCGAAGATATGGGAACTACTCGAAAAAATAAGGATGGAAATAGCGGTTGATATGGGAAAAATCGGCCAATGGAATATTGGGACATACACTCCCAAAAAAAATCGTATTTATGCAACGAAACAAACTATTTTAAAAAATTTATGCATTGATTATTTAGAAGAGAGAAGGGACTTGCCCAATTTTCTCTCTTCAATTGGAGAACATATACGTTCTAGAATTGTTTCTTTTTAATAATATAATTTATTATTCTATATATCATTTAATAAAATTATAATTATTTCTTTTCTGTAACTTTTGAAAAAAATTCATAAGCAAAATAATAATTGTTAGATTAGAAAAATATAATACTCACTGCTGATAATCACCTCTGGATGTATTTTGATTAAAGTGGTCAGCATTTTTCATTACTTTTGGCAGTATTTAATTAAAATTGGGCAGTAAAAAATATAATTTTGCAAGTTTTATAGTGATTTTGTATTCAGTCAGTTAAATTCTTAAAGTAGGTAAATACTTCAGTAAAATAATATTTATCAAATAGAGGGTATCAGATTGAATTGCTAATTTCCTATTTAGCCACAAAATTTATAAAATTATATTATTTAATAGCTTATCCTTGTAAAAACAAAAAGGGGCGCTATTTAAGAGTCAGTAAACTGTGAAAAGCCTTTTACCATATTTCTAAAAAAATGATTAAAATTTGTGTAAAAATAATTTTTCAATAAATACCTAAAAGTTGATGAAAGTGTGTAAAGGTGAACTAGATTTATTTAACTTTCGTTTTATTATTTAAAATCTCAAATCCTCGAAGAAATTTGACTTTAAAAAACATTTCTATTTAATTAAATACTGCAGAGCAGATCCGGGTCACGGGATTTTTTTTCCGGGGAATTATTTTCCTAGATTCAAATTTACTAGTAATATAATTTGAAAATTGTTCATTTTTGTTTTATATATCTATAAATACATATAAAACATAATCCCAAAAAATATTTTAAAAATATCGTGGTTTGGCGGATAACCGACTCGTATATGTTTTACTCGTAATTATAGATATATAAAACAAAAAATGAACATTTTTCGAATCATATTACTAGTAAATTTTATCAATCGAATATTTAGTAAGTGGGGTTTTGAGCTCGGCAATCAGTCAAATCAAATTATTTTCAAAATATTTTTTAGGATAATGCTTAGCACGTATATATATACGCGTATAATACAAAAATAAAGATTTTTCCATGGATAACGCCAGCAATGCAGTATTTGGTCATTCGGTCGGTTTTCGGGTCAAATCACGATATTTTTAAAATATTTTTTGGAATTATGTTTTATACGTATTTATAGATACATAAAACAAAAATCAACATTTTTCAATTTATCTTAATAGCAAATTTGATCAATCAAATATTTAATAAGTGGTCGGTTTTGAACTCGGCAATCGGTCAAATCAAATTATTTTCAAAATATTATTTAGAATAATGCTTAGCACGTAAATATACACGTATAAAACAAAAATGAAGAGATTTTGATAAATAACGCCAGCAATATTTACTTTAAAAAATTTCCATTGTTTTACTATTCTAAACCTACTCATTAAACATCAAAGAAACCTAAAAAAAATTTTTAATTTTTAGGTTTTTCATATGTATATATATACCCAAATATAAAAAAAGTGCTATCCAATCATCATTCCGGTTTCCTAAAATGATACATATTCAAACATATAACGCCCTCTTACGGATATATATTTGTTAATTTTTAAAATTAAATAAAATGTATATTTGTTTTAATGGTTAGGGTCCGCCAGATCGTATGAACATTTATGAAAAAACGTCAAATGACCTAAAATGGCCACAAATATATTTGAAGCGATTTTAATATTTGTATAATTTTGAAATGATGTAACAGATTAGACAAATAAATTAAAATATACTTTTTATTTTAAATAAAATTAAATATAAATGTAAATTGCTAAATGGTAATTAATATAGATTATATACAATTAATATTATAATAATTGTATATAAAATATATGATCATATTTTATATTAATAATAGATAAAAAATTTAATTAATTAAGATAATATATTATAAATTGCAGATAATTTACAATATTTTAGAAAACTCTTCTAGATCTATTAATATATAACAGACAGCATGATTATACTATAAATATATCTTTAAATCAGTGACGAAGCAAAATAAAAAAATTCTTATTTTTTTTATTATATTTTTTTTCCTTACTTAATTAATGTTTAATAATTGTAATTATGTTATTGAAAATTTATTATGATTATCAGAGTTGTATAAAAAGTATATGCATCTATATACTATTTCAAAGGTATCTGTTTATAGATACTTTTTAAGATACATTTTGATATACTTTTATTTAACGCCTTTTTATCTAAAAAATAAAAATATTTAGATGCAAATTTTATGTTATATGTATGAGCATATAATTTAAATTAATATATATTATAAAAATATTAAGACTAATATAATAAAAAAATATATATATAATATTAAACTCATATATAGAAAAAGATATAAATATCATTTTTTTCCCCATTATCTATAGATATCAGTTCAAGATTGTGAAAGATATTCTTATCATGCAAAGGAATTTATAAATCCTTGCTTAGACATGACGCCTATTAATTATAAACAATACCCGTTGGGCAGGTCATCCGGAAAAAGAATCTAGATACAGATACTTTGTGAAAAAATGAATCTTAGATATATCTTTTTCAAAATATCAAAAAGATACAAGATAAAAGATACTTGTATCTTTTATACTTCTAAATTATCATTACCAATTAAATTAGAATAGTTTGTAAAATACAGTTTTTATTATTTATTTGTGAAGAACATAACATTCATATAATAAGAATGAATATTTACAATAATTACTAAAATATCTAATGATGAGTTGATTATAATAATCAGGTATTTTAATATTAGTATTAGCCCATTCTTAGCATAGATGAAGGGAGACTAGTATTTTTAATGGGAGTTGAAATATTAATTTGCAAAAGAGTATTTAAAATAAATTCATTATTTTATAAGATAATCAAATTTTTCAAATATTTATAATTGGACTTTTGCCGTTTCGGCATACTTAACATTGTGCCAAAACTAAATAACCTTTCAATTGGAGCTGATGAAGGTATTGCAGTATTATATTTATAAAAAATTTCCCATTATATTCAAATCATACTTATTAAAAATTTCAAAAAGATACTGAGTACAAGATAAAAATATTTTTGACTTCGATTGAAAAAAAGTTATTAAAAAATTTAAAATCTAGCAATAACTATTATAATTCTGTGTTTGATCATTTTACTCAAAAACAAAAACGAATTATACTTATTTATATATTTTAATCTTTTTATGGTTTGACTAAAAATAAAAATTCTATTGCTTCCCTAGTAGTGAATTTGACGCTTCGTCACTGCTTTGAAACTATATAAATATTGAAGTTTATCATAAGTACTCTAAAATTTAAGTGGCATGCTTTTACCTGGTAAGAAAATTCAACTTATTTAAGAATGAACATAAAGTAGTAATAATAATTTTAGGGATTTATTTATTATTTATGTCATAAAAAATTTTAAATATATAATATATATTTTGTAAACAATATTAAAAATAATATATTTCCATTGCGATTATAATAAGTTAACATATTAGTATAGCGCTAATATGATTAAAACATGGTATGGAAATTTATTAAAAATGGTTTAGTGCGTGTTAACTATATAAATAAAATGTCGATGACGAAACAATATGATAAGGTATATGTAAAAAAAAATTAAAAACTATAAATTTTGAAAATGACGTATACCACCTCTGTCAAATCCGACTATAAATACTCGGATTAATAGTAATGTTATCCTTTATTGACAATATAAAACAATATAGTTAGACAATGGCAGAAAAATTAGAGTGATTTGATTTTTTTGAATATAAAAATTTTGATATTTTCTCCAAATATTCTATAGGGGTAAAAAAACCTCCACAGTATAGTATTATATTTTCCTTAATTTTATCGTCTAATATACAATATATTTTTTTTTCTTTCCGTAACCTTTCTGCCATCATCTAATTGGATTAATTTCAAGTCCATATCTTGTTCTATAATTTTTATGGTGTCAATAAAGAGATAAATATTAGGATGCGAATAAGGAATGTATTCCCTTAATGAACGATGAAACCCTTCCACATGGTTATTCGTCCTCACGCCCCTAATATCAAATGTATTCCACATTTGATATTTAAATTTTGCATTAAAATTAATCCAAGTATTTTCAAAATAGTTTAAAAAATCATGTATTGAATTTATTCTAAAAACTTCAGCTTGTCGCCGAAGATCGTTAATTAAAAATTGCACATCCCTTTCTAACAAAAAAGGAATGGCCATTATAATTCGAAAAAATTTTTTTATTTCAATATTTTGTCTAAATAGTCGGGTTAGATGACTATCTTGAATGCGCCTAATAACGCACTGACAGAAGTGGAAATAACAGCCCTTAACTATAATAGTGCGAAAAACAACTTTAAGGGCTAAGTATACGCCAATTTCAAAATCAATAGTGGCAAAACGGGGGGAAAAAAATAACCCTAAAGATAAACAATGATTTTTTAATAATAAAAACATATTTAAATAAGTATTTTTATATTTATCTGGCAATAAAATATAGCACAAATAATTAAAGTATGATTAATTAAAATAGAGAAAGTATAAAATTGTTTAAATAATTTAGGAGAGGCATTAAAAGTACCGTCTAAAAAAATTTTTTCAGCCAAACATAGGCGTGATAAAAGTTTATAAGTTGTAAAAATAAATATTTTATTATCTTCACTATTAAAAAATAAAAACTGTCTCCGATCAATTGTTAATTTGTGTTCATCATGTAAAATAATACTGGAATTATTTATAGGGAATGAAGGTCTAGTTGACTGAACAACTCGACCCATTATAGATTTCACCGCCAAAAATGTTGGCAAAGTCTTTGGATGATTTATACAATATAAATCTAATTTTCTTGTCCTCATGACTTTTTGATAAATTTTTAGAATACTCAAATGAGTATCTATATTTATTTGGTCTTTTAGAAGATTTATTGTTACAAGAAAGTGGTAATACTCCTCGTCATCGAGGTGGTTATGTGTTTGGGTCACAGTAAAATGTGACCCAAATTTACCCCTACCCTTACAAGTATTCTTTCGGCATTTGTAATATAGGTCGCCGAAATCATGGCTGTATAAATATTTGTTATAATATATCATTTTTTTGTTGTTTTTTGATGTTATAAAACTATATTGATTGTTTTGAATGATAGCTATGTTTAAAAATGATATAAATATCCATAAGATACTATTTACTTGGACTATTGATAATTCTGTTATGGGCATCTATTTCTTCCATTACCTCTGGGTTCATAACTTTGTTAAAAAATTGATAGCACAAATATATAATTGAAATTTACTTGGACTATTTGTGATGTCCAAAACTTGTAGATTAAGAGCTTTAAAAAATTATTGTAAATATATATATGATATTTTACTTTGGCATTCTGCAGTGCATACATTTGATGCTATAATATAAATACACATGATTCAGTAATTAAGTTTTTAATTTTTTATACTTGGTGAAAATAATGATATATATGTCTGTGTAGAGGCGTCCATTAATAGAGCATTGTCAGCTAAAATATATTTATATGAAATATTTAGCTATAAAAATCACTTTGTGTTGATATCGATATATATCTTTTCTTAGGGCAATCAGAGTCTTAAAGAAATAAAAATTTGAGCATATAAGATAATATAAATCACAATTATTTACCTTGAACAGGGAGTTTCATAGATGGACCTTGAAAGTCAGAGATTAGACTTAGAGAATCATCTAAATTGGAATATTAATTGGATAATATATGGTAAGATATTTATACCTATAATTTGAGTATTTAAAATAATTTATAAATCACAATTATTTACCTTGAACAGGGAGTTTCATAGATGGACCTTGAAAGTCAGAGGTTAGACTTAGAGAATCATCTAAATTGGAATATTAATTGGATAATATATGGTAAAATATTTATACCTATAATTTGAGTATTTAAAATAATTTATAAATCACAATTATTTACCTTGAACAGGGAGTTTTATAGATGGACCTTGAAAGTCAGAGGTTAGACTTAGAGAATCATCTAAATTGGAATATTAATTGGATAATATATGGTAAAATATTTATAACTATTTACTTTGAATTGGCTTGCATGTTTCTAAATGTTTTACAGTGATACTAAATTCAGTATTACTAAATTTAGCTCTTCCTCCACATCTTCTTCTGCATGTGTAATATATAGCGTTCTTTCCATATTTATGGAAGATATAATCATATCCTGCATAAATTATGCAATCTTTATTTTTACTAGTTTTCTAAAAAAATTAATTATTATATGCAAATTAAATAATATATACTTTAATTTCCAATTTTCTTATTGATAATTGTTGCGATTTAGCATTAATCTCTTGGATTTTCATAATTATTTTGGGAACAAACTACTTTGGGAACGAACTATTGCAAATTGGCTTTTTTTTGGGAACGAACTATTGCAATTACGACAAAAAACCTATTTCCTAAATTTTCATACGAATTAGAGGGACGATCGTTTTAATAAGCTAGAAAAATAAATTTCTTATTAATGATATTAAATAAAAATAAAATTATATACTATATCATTTAATCAGTATTCTTCATTTATAATAAAAAAATGATTTAAATATATTTTAAAAAAAGTTTAAAAAATTATCATTAAAAAAATATACGTAATAAATTTTTGATTGATTTATAATTGATAATGATTGATTGCCTTTTAGCAATGCAGTTTAGCAATGCATTAGCAATTCAATGTATAGTGGGGAAATTTTTTCCGGGGAATTATTTTCCAGGGGAATTTTATTCCGGGGATTTTTTTTCCGGAGAATTATTTACTCTGGGGAATTTTTTTCCGGGGAATTATTTTCCGGGTATTTTTTTTCCGGGGAATTAATTTCCGGGGAATTAATTTTCCGGGAATTTATTTTCCAGGGATTAATTTCCGGGGATTTTTTTTCCGGGAATTTTTTTCCGGAGAATTATTTTCCGCTTACCTGAAAAATCAGTATTTACAGCCCTAATTATTAGAGTTCTACCCTCCACCTCCACTCCATTTTTGCTCAAAAATTGATAAGATTAAATAATTATTCATTAGAGATATCTCAGCCCCTTTACAAGGGAGGAAAAAACTTTAATAATTAATTTAAAATATTTTTTTATATAATACTTCATTTTTTAAAAAAATCGATTTCATGTAAAAAAATGATTAACTTGGAATTAGAACTATAGATCTGTAAATCACGGCCCGAACCGGCAGGGTCTATTTTTTAATAAAATAATTTTGGTTCGGGCCTATATTTTTAATTATGATATTATTACATTTTGTCGAATAAATAAATAATATCTTAAAATTCTTGCAAAAACAAGGCGCTAATATTTTTTTTAAAATCAAAAATAATATTAAATTTTTCTATATTTAAATAAATTCTGGCCGTGCCTGGCTGACAAATATTTTTCTGGATCGGCTGGTCAAATTTTTAAAAAAAAATTTGGGCCGGGCCGTGTTTGAAAAATTAGGCAGATGCAGATCACTAATTAGAACACCCCCCCCCCCCCCCAACCAAAGAATAATATCACGATATGTTAAATCTCTTAAAAAGATAGTGGATTGGGCTAAAAATGATTTTTTTAAATATAGTGTAATAGAGATCTAAGGACGTCGCCTTCCGGAACTAATGAGCTATTATGTGTTATCCAGTATTTTGCAAAATGCTTTTTTTTCGATAAATGAATTATTCAATACTATATTTTTTTATATATAAACAAATGTTAAATTATAATCTAGAATGATCATTTATTTGCATTATTGCATTGTGATTTCCTATATAAAATATACAATAAATTCTCCTTTTTTAAAAAAAAAATGCTTTAAGCCTACGATATATTTAACTTTTATTTAAAATTGAAAGCTTAAAAAAAATTGTTTTTAGGCCGAATCTTTAGAACAACTAACTACATCTTTAATTGAACAACAACAAAAATTGAGGAAAGAATTTGGCCAGGAATTACATGTCATGATTGAAAAAGAGCAAACTAAATGGAATAATGATAACCGTAGAGAAGTAAAGTTTTACTGCTTTTTTTTATTTGGGAAAATTAGCTAAATTTTATACATCGGGGAATGGATTTATTTAATTTGCAATCATTATAATAATTTAAGAATTAATATTAATAAATAAAAAAGATGATTATTTGATAGTTTTTATATCAATCAGCTGTTAATCAATGACTTTTTAGCCCAATATAATTTGCACCTAACATTAAAATTTAAAATTAAGATTAGTCATTGTATAACTCTTAACATAAATTATTATATGAGTGCTAAAATTCCTTGCTTCGATTTTTGATGAAAAATGATCACAAAATAATTTGCGTTCTTTAGCTTTTCATCAGTTGTTTATCTCAAATTTCTACTTATTGTAATTTTATTTATTTTATCAATGATTATTAAATTATTATTTTTAGATCAAGTCATTCAAAATAATAATCCTTAAGATAATTTTAACCGCTTATTGATAACTTACTTAAAATTTGAAAAGAATATAAAGCATTTTTTTTAAAAAAGTTTGGTTTCAAAATTTAGAAAGATCAGGCTGATTAATCCTTCACGTTATTTAAAATTAACGCAAATGTTTTAAACTACGCAATGACCACTGCTCTTTATTTTTGTAGCATTTGATTTTGATTATTTTTTAAAAAAGTGCAACCTAATTGAGCCTTTGCGTTTCGTAACGCAAAACCCGCACAATGCATTTTACATGGTATCGTACAAATTGAAAAATAATTTATAAACGTTAATAAAAACGCAAGCAGGTTTGCTTTTATTTTATTATCGAAAACGCTCAATTAGATCGCACTATTTAAACTCCATCATGCTGTTTATTAAATATAAAATACTATTTTTCGATATACTGAATTTATATATCATTCTTGTCAAATAAAAATAAAATAAACTATTTAATAATAATAATATGATAGCCTAAATATATTTACTTTTAAATGAAAACCACAATTAAATAAATATATATTTTTTTTGGTTCTCTCTCCTGCGAAGATATTTCGAATACAAACGGATTTCGAAAATAAATTACGTACTAATTTATCCAAACAAAGTTCCTCACATAGAGACGAAGTAGCCAAACTACTAAATCAGCAAAGGGAAGAATTACTGAAGATCAACGAAATCCGTGTTGAAGTATAAATTTTGGAATATTTAAGTTTTTTTTAATTCTTATTAATTCGGATCGGATCCTATTATGAATACGGTCTTAGTTTTGCTGCTTTGCTTAATAGGGTTTTTAGACTTGGAAACAAACAAAAATATTATAATGAACTTTCAAAAAACGAAAACAATGATTTTAAAATAAAAATACGTTTTTAAGTTTTTTTAAGAAAATTTCCTAGCATCTAGTTTTGCCAAAAATTTTATTTATAATTTAAAAAAAACACAATTAGGATCTTATGAATAAAGAGGAAGAAAAAAATCGATCATTAAGAATGGAATATTTGGCGAAGATGACAGGAATCGAAGGAGCCATAGATAGTTTATTTTTTTAAAAAAATAAATAAATTAGAAAACCATTTTCTTTCCCTCAAATTAGTTTATATTCTACAAATCGATGTTTTACCAAACTATTTATAATTTTACCTCAGGAACGTTTCAAGCCCGAACGGATTTCCTCAATATCTCAAAACTGTGGGTCGTTTGCGCATCACTCATGCAACTTTTAGAGGGATATCAGGAGAAAACCAATTTAGACGAATCTTTCGAAAATAACGACGTTTTTACGGAAAGAATACCTTTTCAATTTATTTCGGATCATTTGCGCCACAACTTGCCCAACATATTACCTTCGCTTAAAGCGGATCACAAAAACGAAGACTTAAATTCTGATACCATGCTTCTAAATACGATAGCCGTATCCTTTTCCAAGTTTGAAGGGGTTAGTTATAGAATACTATAAAATATATATGAATTGTTATCTGAGAATTGGCTTATTTAGCTATTTTTATTCTTATTTTTTTTTTTAAAAAAAACCTTGAATTTAAGAAATATTTCTAAATCATTTTTTTGAGAATAAAATAAAAGATAGTGCTCTGAATGTGTTTTTACCACTCCTTTTAGTGTTAGGATGTGAGCAATGTTGTTGATGATCATTTTTATTTTTATATCTGCCAAATGCATTTATAATTTGGCTTGGGCTTTTAAAGGTGAAGTTTATTAATTGGATTGAAGACATTTCTGAACCCAAACCAGAATACGGACGCCACATGTTATTAAAATAAATACCTTTTTTTAAATATTGAAACAAATAATATTTTGAAGATGGAACCCAATAACGACGTATACACTCTAAAATGCTTGACCGAACGATTTTCGAACGTTAAAAGGGTTTGTAGGAGGGTCGCTATGATCAAGGACCCCAATTCCTCCCTATTGCGTTATTTTTTTTCTTACCTCCAATCCTTTCTGGTCGTCACCCCATCCATAAGGGATAGGAAAGGCAACATTTTCAGGCTCGAAGATACTTCATCCCAACACTCCGGTCATTTTGATTTAAGTCACGCCAACCTAAACGTCGTAATCGAAAATACTGAAGATGTACCAGCTCATGAAGGTAAAAAAACCAGTTTTAAAGGGGATACCTTCGAAATTATAGCATTGGCAGAATATTACGTGACGGAAAAGAGGGATTTGATGTCTGCCGTAAGACTACTTAACCTACTCGAAGGGCAGCCTAGAATATTTGCCGATGGGTGGATACGGGATACGATCAAATATCTCGAGATCAAGCAAAATCTTAAGCTCATAGCCGATATGGCGCTCTATTTCAATATCAGAGACGTAACGATTGATCAGAGGGTTCTTACAACTCACGAACTTAGAAAACATAAATTGTGAAATTTATATTTGGTAACTTTATATAATATATATCACATTTTTTTTCTTCATATAAATGCACGAGATTGTAGTGTTACGAATGCTATTATTTTTTTTGTGATAGTTTAGAATAATTTTATATAGCCCTTTATACAATATAAACCTAATAGATTATATTATCGATTATGTCAATATATATATAAGCAAATAATACTTATAAATACTAACTCAAAGCTAATTTAAATATTTTTGAAAATTTTTATGGACATCATGAATAAATTTTAGTTTGTTAATTTGGTTTATAGCAATACTATGAATTTTTTTTTAAATACATTAGTATTTTGATTATTTTGTGCTTATCATTTTGATGTTTTAAATTAATGTTCGTTGATTTTATATTATAAAAATACCAATAATATTATCATATTAAGTTAAATATTTAATTTTATACAAAGATTATATTTATAAATATCGCGAAAAAAATAGTATAATAAAAATAAACTGCCTTCTTTTTAAAAAACATTTCTTATTATAAATAAATTATATTGATTGCAATATGACATTAAATAAGGGTTCCCTTATGGATTTTTTTTAATGATTAAATTATTAAATTTGGAAAGTGCTACACTTAATCAATAGATAATAAGAATTAAACTTTGACAAAAAAAGTGAATATGATTTTGGTAAAAGTTTTACATCATTGAATATTTTATTTATAATTTTTTTTTCATCTAATAAATTAATATAACAATAAAATAAAAGGTTATAAATAATGTTCATACATATAATCGATCCAAGTTTTACCGTTGATGATTTCAGTTGTGATTATCAAATAATCGTACGAACCTAGAATAATTGTAAGATGTGACGTTTAAAATCATTTAATATTCGATATTATTATCTAAAGCAAAAATAATTTTAAAATTGTTAAAATGATTAGAATAATCAATTATACGAATTCGGTTTTGTACAAATCGAATATTAGATTCGTTTTTGAATAGGCCCATTCGCACCAAACATGTATAAAAATGTATTTAGCTATTTTTTTTAAATTAACTTTTTTTACCTTTAAATATTTAACCATAAAAAATAGATTAGGTTATAGCTAACAAAAATTGAAAAACAGCTGTTGACTTAGGGTTAAGTTAATTTACTTTCTTCGGATTTTAATAAGAACCGCAAGGCCGATATTTCAGCCAAGGTTAAACCGCCAATCATAAATACTATGATTGTGTTTTGTTGGTACGAAGATGATTCGTTCAAATCTAAACTATTATTGTCTACGCTTCCGCTCCTGACCGAACCCGAATCAGGGATGCTGCTATGATTTATAGATTTATTGTCTTCTTCCAAAAAGAAAGGATCTAAACAAAAATCAAAATTTTTTTCAATTTATTGAAAGGGTTTATTTTTATGTCCTTTTTTTTAATATTAGCAATGGTGAAGTAAAATATGATTTAGAATATCGAGAATGCCAAATTTTTTCTCAAGCTTAATACTAATGTAAGAATGAAGGTAAAGTAGAGAATATTGAAACAAGGACTATGGGGTTAAAGTCTGAGACATTTATATTAATAATTTTCATACATGGGAGAGATATTATTCAATTTTTTATTGGAAAAATCCACTAGGCCCTACTCTGGTTCGTCATATTTTCTAAAGCCTGTTTAGTCCTAAAAAAAGAGGCTGTTTAGATTCATTTAGCGGTTAAGGAGTTTTTGTTTTATTTGTAAAAAAATATATAGGTAATAAACCATATTTATTTTATTTATAGACAAACTTAAAACAAACTAAAATAGGGTGGTCCTGGTTCAAAATCTGTTTAGCCTGGGGTAAACAAATAAGCTTTAAAATAGAGCAAATCAGGACATGGCCTAATTCTTAATGATTGTTTTTTAAACCTAATTTCAATGATTGCAATATAGCTCCATTTATCCCAAACTAGTGTTAAATGGCTCTAATTTTAAATTAAGATTTGAGACAAAATAAAATTAGGAAAACCTCTAGATTTCATTAATAGATGTCCAAAACTTTCTGCCATCTATGAATAAAATCTCCAGGCTTGCATAATATTTTTGGGCGAAAATATTGGGGTAGCCGTTCTACACTATCTGAAGCCCCCCCCCTCCCTGCCCATCCCAAATCCATTAGATCAATCTATTTTTTTAAAATGATCTTTTCAATTTAATCAATTTTTGCAGAATATAATAAAGTATTAGACATACGAAGGTTATAAGAGGAAAAAAATTGGCCAATATCTTATAAAACGATCAAATGGACTGCCAAAAATTTTATAACTAATATATTCTCAACTAAAAATTGTAAAAAAAAATATATAAGAAATTAAAATTTTTTTTAAAAAAACTTTTATTATATTCAATATTGAGACTGGCGAAAGATGAGTTTTTTTGTGACATGCCCTTGTTTGCAATATGGGTTTCTTTAAAGTTGGTCGATAGTATTTTTTGTACGATTCTAACAGAGAGAGGTGCGTAAATGCTATAGACGTAGGAGAAATCGTGGGGTAACTTAAATATCCAAATTTAAAGCTTAACATATAGGTTTATTTAAATTGATGATATTTTATTTGTAAGTATAAATTATTTTCGTGGCTTTACTTTTCGCGGTCACTAGAAAAAGAAATAGTCAATTTTTTTTTTAAAAAATAGGACTTGTCACCAATGTTACACATAGTGTGAAGCAGATGTTATATAAATTTTTATAAAAATGATTATTCAAATTATTGAAAGCGTTAGATTAGAAGAAAAAAAACTTTTCCTTTTGCTCAAGATATGAGGATAATACGATCTGGCATTTTATAGACTAAAATATTAACACCAGATCATAGTGATTGCACGTTCAGTCGAATTTTTCCTAATGATGAAATCAGAACAACTTCCATTTTATCAGCAATTAATAGGTTGCAAATGGTTCGATATCACTCCATTGCAAATATTTTCGATTCAAGTCATCAGGCTATTATTTCCTTCACCTAAAACTCATTATCACCAGCTTACAACTCATTTACCCTAGAAGGGCTTGATATTTCAGCGCAAAAACATCACTCATTGGGAGAAAGGGCAAAAAACTTCACTCATTGGAAGGAAGGGCAATTGGATTGGATTATACATTTATCCAGGCTTGTGAACCAAAAGAGTTGGACGTTTAAAACTGTTTAGTTTGATATTTTAGAACACATAGAAAGAAAGAAGGAAACTGGAACCTATTTATGAACAACCCATCGAACCCAGGGTCTTTTCAATCCGGGGCGAGTCCGATTAAGTATGTGTTATCAAAGTTTCCATTAAATAAAGTTTAAAATTTATGAATCCGAATTTTGGTTCACAGGTCTGCATTCAAGATTTCAAGATTTATATTTGCCATAATTGGAAAAAAAAATTACACAAAGGAGGAGGTACTTAACCAGCCTAAAATATTTTCCATTTAAGCAAAGCCTTGTTTGAGCGTACGCAAAACTATTTTGAATTTTTAAAAACGTGTAAGAGATTAACTACTCCGTTGATTCATATAATTTATATCAGAGACCTGCAGAGGTACTATTTGCACGGCCCGGCCCGGTTTTAAATTTTTTAGGCCCGGCCCGGTTTAAAAAAAAATTTTTACGGCCCGGCCCGGATTTAAAAATTTCAGGCCCGGCTCGGAATTTTTTAAAATTATATTCGACCTGGTCAAAAATTCACCTATGAGGTATTTTACCATATTTTTCAGCGAGTATTATCGCTTATTATTTAAAAAATACATGTAAAAAGCTAATATTTTGAGAATATTATATTGAATTTATAAAAATTATAAAACTGTTATTTATAAAAATGGATATTTTGAGCATATACTATATTTTATATTGCATTTATAAAAATAAAACTAATATTCATAAAAATGGTAATAATATTTTGAGCATATACTATATTTTATATTGCATTTAAAAAAAATAAAACTAATATTTAATTTATAAAAATGGAAAATATTTTGAGAATATAATATATTGTGTTTAATTTACTATTTAATTTATAAAATAAAAATAAATCGCTATTTAAAAAAATGCATGTATAATAAATAGTATTTTGAAAATATAATCTAATTGCACAATATTAATATAATTTATTTTATATTATAAATTTTTAACAAAAGAAGATAATTGTATTATATAATATTGTAAAAAAAAATAATGAAAAATGTTGGATTAAAAACTTTCATGACTCAAGGTAAATATAATAAATGCAATATATATTTGACAGTTTGCAAAGTAAAAAACAAGCATGATTGACGAAACCCTATACTCAAGAAAGATATTAAAAATTCACAAATTATCATGAAGAAAAAGAAGCATATCTACCTTTTCAGGTTGAAGATTACTTCTTCTTTCTTCAAGAATTCTCCCAGTAGTGGAAAAATTCCGCTCACAGCTTGCACTTGAAGAAGGAATTGCCAATTTTGCTAAAATGGGAAATTCGCTTTGATGAGCCGCCCACCACTCTAACAAATTATCCACCTTAAATGTTTCATCTATTTTTTTATTTATGTAATTATAATATTCATCATCGGGTATTGACATATTACCAGAATTACCATCGCCCCATTTGTCATAAAACGATTCAGTTTGTTTAACAACAGTCGTAATTTGACTGGTCGATGGTATTTCATTTACTTCCTGAGCCTCTTGTAATTTAATATAATCTTTTATATAGTTTTCCGTCATCTTGCGATCTGTCCCTTACTACATACGTAATTGCTTGAATTTGGGACAGAGAAAAAGAGAAATAAAATGATACTTGTGTAAAACAAATTTTTCAATTAAAAAATGCTTTATATTAAGTAAAATCAATTTTATTTCTCCTTTTTCGCTTTGAAAGGGTAATACAAACTTCAAGAAGTGATATTCCTTTATTTGATTGTTTTGGTAAAATATATTCTAAAAATTTAGATATGAATTATAAAAAAATATATTAATACTTTGAATAAATTTGCAGGAAATTAATAATTAGATCGATCTGTGGGTGTTAGGTAGTGTTAACCATCACCCAATATTATATTAATCATAACTATAATATAATATAATCTTATAACCATTAACTCCATAATGTAAAAATTTTTATAAAAAATATTAAGGCCCGGCCCGAGTTTAACAATCTTAGGCCCGGCCCGGATATATTTAAAAAAAATTTTCTTAGGCCCGGCCCGTGTATATTTAAAAAATTTAAAATACGGCCCGGGCCGGGTCGGTTTTAGGGCCGGGCCTGCAGGTCTCTGATTTATATAGAATCAATATTTAAATATAAAAAATGGTTCAATATATTAAAAAAATTTTTTTTTAATAATACTTTTTCATCAGTTTTTTCGACGATTAGATTATACGATTTGACGAGGGCAGAAAAGGGTCTTTTGTTAGTAGAGTCGGGAATGTAATTGACCAACATTTTGCATTCTTTTAAATTATTTAAAGTGAGCATGTGCACATATCCGTAAGTCTTAATATTAATTTATATTTAATTAAAGAAAATGGAATTTTAAAATTACATCGTGGGGTTTTTATATAAAAAAAACAAAGTTAATATATATTATTAATAAAAAAATTTTTTTAAATTACAAGCTAAGAATTGCAAGAAAAGGATTGGAGGAATGGGCAATGTTATGAAAAGAAATATGTTGAGATGGGTATTGAACATATGCTGTCTTTTCTTTCTTTCTTTGTGGTAAAGTCGAAGGACCATTGGGTAAAATAATTTATCGACCTGAGAAATCGATTTTTTTCAGTCCGAATCCGAGCGCGGCCCGGTGATAAATTTTTTTAAAATCTAAGCAAGCCGTGGCCCAATTTTTTTTTTTTTAAAAAAAGCTTCAAAATATTTATTTTATTCTACATTTTAAATGGTAATGTAAGATTTTAATATTTAGCAAAATTTTAAGAATTTAATTTATGATTATCTTATTTATTACAAAGCACAGTCTCCTGGTGGAAGAGAAGGAAGGAAATATTAGATTAATATCTTTCGGGCCACGGGTCGGGCCTATATTAATGATATTAGGGTTACCTTTACATGGGGTATCACTAGTAGAAAATTTTATAAAATAAGGAAGGGGGGGATTAAAGAAGCAAATTATCAACCCGGGCAAGAAGAATAAAAATATCGAACCTGAAAAATATCTCGAGAATATTGTTCCAAAACCTTTGTCTTCAAGCCATTGTTCACAAACGATTGGGCACACAACAACCTTAACACCTTTAATAAAGAAAATTATGAAAAATAATGATCAAATTTGTCTCTTTTTATTTAAAAGGAAGAAGAAAAAAACCAAATAATACCTTTGTTAAGCTTTCTTTCCTAGCTATGCAATCTTCTATATAAGTATTTATTTTATCGGTGCCCACGCAGAATAAAAACTCTAGCGACAAAATATTAAAAAAATTTAATATTACATTTTATAAAATTATTATAATTTAGTTTAATAATTTGAATAATATTATGAGAAATGAAGGAAATTCAAGATACGAAGGCGATCACCACGAAGAGATGGTTACCTTTGGAGGTTCCATGGTATATATTTTTTATTAAAAACCTTGTTCGGCTTTTAAGATGTCTCGAAATTCATCGCTATCGATTCGTTCTTTGATCACTTCTGCGATGGTCGTATCTATAGTATAATAAAAAATGACAAAAAAATGTAATACGCGATATTTCAGATGAGAGCAGATGGTTAATATTAAAGAAAACACAAATAATGGGTGCCATAACTGTAGAAAGCACCATCTAATATATAAAAATAGTTGTCAAAATTAATAATGTTCTTAAATTTTATTTTTCTTTAAAAAAAGAAACAATTTAATTTTTGCAAGAATTAAGCATATATTAATTAACAAAATGTTAAATTCATAATTTCAGAGAGTTGCATTGGACCTTCTCTTATTTTCCAAGATTAGCCCGGTCTAATCTGACCAAGGGCTATCCTGGATAGGACCATGTAGGGCTCGATAGTAAATGATAGATGTTTTTTTATACGATTTGTCAAATGCGATCTGATGTTTTGTAAGTAAGGCAGTTTCGAGACAAATCCTTTAACTTCGCTGACAGTTTTGACGTTGTGGCGTTCCTAAGATTATATTATTATTTATAAGATTATATATCTAAAAAATTTATTATAAAGCATGTTTATACAGTATATTAAACATCAATTATCATCCAGCATTGTATTATTCCCAATGGATTACATTATTTTTCCAAAGTGATTTATCACGAAAAAAAAGATGAAACTTTTCTAGTTTATTATAATTTGACAAGAGTGCTAAAGCGTTAGAAGCAAAATCTTGTTAACATAGTTGGTAATTAGAACATTAACCGTTTATGCCAATTTTTAGCCGGCTAAAAATGAGATTTTCTTAAAAATGAAGCAGGAAACTATTATAAATTAAAACGCCTTAATTTTACGGATTTTCTCCGACACGTGCCTGTAGATTGAGCCGAATTAGCCGACATTTAGCCATTACCCAACTCTACTTGTTACTATAATCACTTATCGAATATGAGCCAAAATACATTAGTAATTTACTTTTAAATATAGTTTTTCCAAAAAAATAATCGTATTTCAGACCAAAGATCATTATCCCGCTAGAAATTAAGCAAATTTATGACTTTTTTCTTAATAAAAAATTATGGGTAGGGCATCTAATATAAAATCGTTTTATACTGACTGAACCAAAAAATCATTCAAAAATCTTCAAGGTCTAGCTCGGGCCGTGCGGATCTTTATTTCGGATTATAATACCTCAAACTGGGAAGCCAAGTTCTTAGCCTTGATACTCAAATAAGATCCTACGGCGTTAAAATTTTTATCCCTGGTTTCGCCGAATATTTCGTCCCTTGAGTTGAGAGATAAGGTTTTGATGGCTTTGTTATTTTCACTCTCCGTGTTGGCAAAGTTGGAATCCCCTATGCCACCACCCTCCGGAATTTGTTGATCATCTTCATCTACCGAATCGGAAAAGGGATTCGTGGATGTCGAGGCTTGGTTGTTTTTAGTGGATTGAGAGGCTTTGAAATACTTTAGAAGGCATCTTGAGAGAGGCTAAGAAGAGTTACAGCGTAAAAAAGAGAAATATATTCTTTTCCGATAAATAAAAGGTAGGTGGGTTTGCCTGATACCAAGAATATCAGGCATTGAATGTAGACTGATAGTGTTAATTTACACGACTTTTACTTAAGTTAGTAAAGCGGCCTACAAAAATACTAGCATAACGCGAGTTAGATATGCTGTTTATATTTATTTTAAGGACATGTTGAATACTCTATGATTAAAATTTCTACGAATAGTTTGAATCACTGATAATTAATTGTTTGTTCTGGAATTCATTTTTTTTAAAATACGCGCTTTCGGGAAAATAAACAATAGTAATAACCAATTGATAATTAACCCTCATAAATTGGAAAAATTTATATATTTTCTTAGTATAGTCAGCAATGGGCGAAAATTTAAAATGAATGATCAATAAAGAGTAAATTTATATTCTAATTGAGATTGTGAATTTATAAATCCGAGGTTTGGCGGGAATGGGTTGACTATACCGCCCAAAATAAGAAGCCTTGATCACTTTGAATTTATTAGTTTTTTCTTTCTTTCTCTCTTACTTTCCTTTTTTAAACACTTCTCTACTTATTTTTGAGAAAAAAATATAACTAACTGCCTTTAATGCCAAAAATTTCGTCGATTAATCCCTCGTAGGTCAATTGAGTGAGTAAAGGGGTCAGTAAATCCACGCTTCTATCTAAGATAATAAGTGTAGTAGTATTAGGAGAACTATAAGATGCTGAGCTCGAATATGGTTTAGAGCTCAAATCGTTCGATAAGGATAATGTTTCTTGAAAGGCTTTGTTGATTTTCTCGTTGGCGTCTTGAAAATTTGGGTCTTTTAAGAGCTCGTGAACTTTCTAACATGTTTAAGATTGATGTGTATGTGTGTAAAAAAAATTGGTATAAGCAGAAGTGAAATATTAACCTGTTAAAAATATAAAAGCTAAACATAGAGTTTCTAATATTATTCATAACCTTTGTTTAGTTATTTTTTCTTTTGCAAATAATAATGTATTGTAAATGGGATCGTGTAAATCGGAAAACTTTATATTTTAATGTTATTTTCATATATTTATACGCAATGTTGACAACATCCTCGATTTAGCCAATTTATCTAACAGTTAAATCAAGATCGTAATATTGAATTTTATCTCGAAAATCTTGATTTAGTCATTTTTAAAAATAGGCTAAATTGAAGAAGAATTTTAACAACACAAAAAAACCCCTGCAGTAAAATTATAACCCCCCCCCCCCATCCTTTTTATATAGATATTTAATGTATAATATTTTATTGACATTCTAAGTCCGAGATTTAAAACAATAAAGGATCATTTTATTTTTTTTAAAAACACAACGTAAAGTTCAATTTGGAAGCACTAAATGGTAAATTTTGAAATGGTGTTTACCAAAATGAACTAAATAAATTAACATACCAACAAAAAATAATAATACATCCATAAATTAAAACTTTTCTTTTATAAAACTGCACATTTAATATTCCTTGAGCCCGTCTCCACACTTCAGGGCCGCCCGTGATTAATTAATTTCATTTAAAAAAAATAGGTCATACTTTAGCAGCGACTCCTTTGCTAATAATTTTCGGTTTGGTATTACATAATAAAGGATGGATTTTCAATAATTTGTTGAGAGCTCTGCCAGATAGATACAAAGAGAATGGATCATATTCAAGGATTAAATCCTAAAATTTTTTTTTTGCTGGTAAGAATTTAAAACGTGACAAATATTAAGGGTACCTTATAAACTCCCAGTATTTCCATAGATATTAAGTCACTATCAAATGGAAATAGATCGGCACCCAGATTTCCTATACTGGTAAATATAGTGTATAGATCTAACTCCTATTAAAAATTTTTTTTTTTTAAAAAAACAATAGTTTGTGAAATTTTTAAAAAATAATTATGTTTACTTTCAATTTTTCATCATATAAGACAAAGTTTTTTGGAACCCACAATAAATGAAGTTCTTTATGATTGAAGTTTTTCTTTTGAAAACTAAATTTATATATTTTATTAATTCAAAATAATTCAAATTTTTAAAAATTTATAATTTGTGGCCTAATTCAACCAAGTTATACAAAAACATTCTGTAAACCATAGCCTATTTAAAAAAAAAATTGTTCAGAGTTAGGATAGATCTGAACAGCTGTTCAAATCTAAAATCCAGAACCCCATTATTTTATAGGAACCTCATACGTTGGCAGAAACCATGTAAATTATTTGAAAGGCAGTGAAATTCATTTTTAGAAAATATATTCTGTGTTTAGATATCCCTTCTCATTATAGAGTTTTTAAAAACGGGAAAATTATTTGAGAATCGGAAATAGGAAATTTTTCTAGAACTTGATTCCATACTTTTAAATTACCTCGGATCTATTTTATTTATTTGATATTATGCTTAGATCAAAGATTTTTTCTTGAGGGGAAGAGGGGGAGGGGTAAGGTTACCAGATCCTGCTTAGTGTAAAAGAGGACATATTTTTTAAATATATTTTAGATAAGATATTAAAATAAATTTAAGATAAAAATTAAATTGATTTTTAAGCAGTCATTTATTTTCACGGTATTTATATATAAATAACATTAAATAATTAAAATAGAATAAAATTAATATAACTTATAAATCATATATTTTTTAATTTCATATTTTTCATAATATATTTCTCTAATTTTTTTTAGAAATCTTGGTAAAAACGATCTAAAATGTATAGCGCGTGCATGTAATTGCTTTAATAGATTCTACGGATAATCTATTCCTTTTATTTGTCCATTGACTATTGATTAAAGAAAAGATTCTTTCCATGTTAACATTATGAGCTGGTAAAGCAAAAATGTAAGGGTGTGCCGATCCACATATTTTTCACCAATCCGATCCGATATTGCTTCAAAACCGATCCGATACCGATCCATATTTATACTGATTTTTAATCACCCCCGTTTGAAGAAATCAATATTTTTTATGCAAAAAATCGAATTATAAATTTAATTTAATTTTTTTTATTTCTACAATTAAGACTATAATAAAAATATATATATAATAATATATCCATATTATGATGGTATTTAATATATAAAATTATAATATATTAGATTTTTTTAATAAATATGAGAGCCTCCAGATTTTCTGGGAATAAGCTTCTACGATATGGATTATCTATATTTCCTGCCGTACTGAAGGCAGACTCAGATGATTCCGCAGATAACGCATTTTGCAAAATTATCTTTGTCTTTTGTAAGATATTCCCATAATTCAGATACCATATTTAAAAAAATTCTTTTATTTAAAGTATAAATAAAAAAATTGGCGTTATTTAAAAAGATTTATAAATAAAACTTTGGGTGTTCCTTTCTATTTTTATAAAAAAAAACTTTTAAAATACTATAAATCTATTTTAAAAATGAAATAAAATTTAAAAAAATTATTTAGAAAATATTATAATATAAAATAAAAATACATAACATAAAATATAATAACAAAAAAAAGAAAAGTAAAAAGATCGGACCGGGTCGGTTTTTACAGGTATCGGCACGATCCGATATTTTCGGAAATCGCTAAATATCGGTACCGATCCTATCAGATATTTAATATCGGCACAGCTCTACTCTAAATAAAATTATTAATAACATTTTTTAGGATTGTGACAAAGTTAAAATAATCTAGTTATAAATGTGCATTAGACATCTGCAAAAGTACCGGGCCTATTTTTTTTTTTAAAAAAATAGGGTTCAGGCTGGGTCGGACCTTTTATTTTTAAAAAAGTTCAGGCCGGATCAGTTCTTGAAAATTTTTTTAAATAATATTTATGTTAAATTTTTTATGTAAAATAAAAATATTTGTATAAAAATTAATTTCTATATTTAAATAAATTTGGGCTGGGCTGGCAAAACTTTTTAAAAAAAATTTTGGGTTAGGCTGGGCTTGAAAAATTAGGGCAGATGCAGATCACTAATGCACATATCTAGGAATTGTACAAGATAAAATAGCCTATTTGAATGTTAATAAAACTTTAAAATAAGTAATCAAAGAAAAATATTTTAGGGAAGAGTCAAAAATAAAATGAGCCACTATTTTGGATTGGTTTTTATAAATAATTTTCTGCCAATCCAACCCCGAAGAAATTTTTTGGCCAATTCTAATACTTATTTATAATAATTTTCTATTATAACTAACTTTAATGTTATAACAATATTCCAAGATGTTTATGAATAAAAGTATTAGTTGCAAATCTAGTGCAAATTCTGAGTCTGCAAATGTCATAATTTTCAAACCTGACCCAGTGGTAATTTAGTTAATGCCCAAACCATCCAAAATTTTTATTGGCTCAGTCCAGTTTCAATTTTTACTGAGGTTGCCAGCCCCTGCTCAATTTTTAGATTTTTCTAACAAGGTGGATTCTATGAAATATCAGAATTCATTAAATATATACACAAAATTTTTTTTATTTAGTTGGCCCATATTTTTTTTCTCTAGTATCCAACCCTGCACATGAGCTGGGCATTGCACATATCTAATATACACATTAATAACAAGTTCATTTATTATCAAAAGTCCTAATACTTTAGGACTCTATGATCATTTTTAAATACAAATGAAATATTAATGTTTTTTTAAAAATTATTAGTAAAATCGTGATATTTATTTAACACGATTGCACAAATATAAATGATAATCTTTTTGAAAATATTCTAATGCATAGCTTAGGCTAGGTTATATTTAAAAAAATATTTCAATTAATCATTATTTAAAAAAATATTTTAATACCTATTTATAAAAAAATACAATGAGTTTATATTATTTAAATCAGGTTTTATTATAAATATTATATGCTTGGCTGATTCCATAGGTACCGATTGTTCTTTAAGTGAGTACATATGAATTACATCATTATCCTGTAAATATATTAAAAAATGATAAAAAAATCCTAAACCTTTAAAATTTGATATTCTATGATCAAACTAATTGAAGCAATAACGTTTTCATCCCATATTATAATCTAAAAATGTATATAAAATTTGTTGGATTATATTATTTACTTTTGGACCATTTAAATGATCCAGAATATCTAAAATATCTCTCTTTAAAATTTCTTTTATAGCCCAAGTATTAATTCTACCAGAATTTAAATATGACATTATGAATGAATGATCATCATATGTTTCTTATTTATCTATACATATTAGAAAATTACAGCTGATTTTGTTGACCTATGATGCATTTTACTTAATTTGATAGTTATGATTGGCAATATTCCTATTAACTATCATAAGATCCAATTGGACAGCTAAGATATTTGAGACTCAGATCCAATTATACAATCCAATATTTTTCTTTCTTCTAAATGTCAATCAGAATCATGTTATTTAAAACCTTACTCATGGCATTCATTTATTACCTTATTTCCCAAATTGCTGATTTTCTATATTTATATTTTGTGAGTAGTTAAAACTTTATTATTTATATCATATTAGTGGGAATAGAGTTAATGCCTAACCATACCAAATTTTTGCTTGGCCCAGCACAGTTTGAATTTTTTACTGAGGTTACCAAGCCCTTCCCTGTTTTTATTTTTTTCTAAAAATACAAGGCCTAAACAAAAATATATGTTGTTGAACACCAAATATGTATTTATAATTTTGGATAGTGGTTAAATTAAAAAGATTATAATTTATGGATCTTCTATGAAAATATCAGCATTCACTAAATATATATAAAAAAAATAAATTTAGATTTTTTCTTTTAATGCTACCCGATCCCGCCGATGGTCTGGGCATTGCGCTTCTCTAATATAAACACATTGATAATACATTTAATATTGACAGGCTCTAATATTTTAGGACTCTATGATAATTCATTTAATATTGGCAGGCTCTAATATTTTAGTACTCTATGATAATTTTAAATTGTGATACAAATTAAATATTAATATGTTTTTTAAATCACCAGTAAAATTTTGATTTGTTAGCACTAATATAAATGATACACTTTTTAAAAATATTTTAATGCGTAGCTCATAAAAAAATATTACAATTAGTCATTATTTTAAAAAGCATTTTGGGACTAGGCCTGAAACTCGGGCTCGACAGGGGAAAAAAATAATTTTTTAGAACAATCCGAGATTTTTTTCACAACATGGGTCGGACTGTGCAATCTGAGTCAAAAATTTATAGAATCTATTTTCTAATGTCATCTTCGCAGATTCCCTTCTCAAAATCCTTAAAAACTTAGTAATTAAATCTAAAGATTTATTTAAAATTAACTTCATTTAAAACTTAATGCCAACCTATCTACTGGTTTGCTTATCTAACCAAGCTGTCTTCTTTTACAATGTACACTCTTTTTTTTTCCTTTAAATCATCCAGTACTCGTAAACAAAATCAGTAAGGCACATAGACCTAGGATTATAATTTTAGAAGTATTCGATCAAGCATCATCCTATTAGTCTTTTATTCAAATATTTTTTGTTCTCTTTCTCTTTCTCTCATCTCCTAAGTTTATCATATCATCGTATGATATACCGAATCCATATATTTATAACTTCTCTTTCCAGTGTCTTTCTTACATAAATATTAAAATTAAATTTTTACTAAATTCCAGATTAAATTCTGAAAAAATAATTCTGAAAAATATTTTAAACAAGACAATATTCGCATAAATTTTTATATATTTTATATATATTTTGTCAAACTATGCATTTTTTTAAAATAATTCTTATTTAATTACTCTATTCTTAGGCCGTTTCTAGTTTAACTTATTTTTAATATTTATTTGGCTAAACAGATTTTGAAAACACACTATTTCGCTTTTTCTCGTTTTTTGTTTTTATTTTTATTTTTTTGTTTTTGATGTTTTTTTTCTTTCTTACTTTTTAAGCTGTTAGCGAAGCTATATAGCTGGCTAAACAGCCGGCTGTTTAGTAATAAGACACTGTCTTACTGTTTATAGTAAAGATATTGTTAATGATTGTAGGTAATAAATAAATTGATAAATATATTGTGGAGTTATCACGATTAGGGAAACTGGATATTATTAATTTCTTGAATCAGAACAATAAATCATATAAAATTAAATTATAATATTATAATTTCAAAACCAAATATAATTTTATATATTTCAATATTTTGAATTTAATAATTTTAAAACAATCCATAAATAATTTATACATAAAAAAGCAATATTTTTATTGATGATTTGCAAGCCCTGCCAAAATTATTTATTCGCCAACATAAAGCCTTACTTGAAATAGAATTATTCGTTCGCCCGGTCCGAATTTATTTAAATATAGAAATTAATAGTATTTTTTTTTAATTTAGTTTTACTGGACATAATCGGAATTCTTGATCATTCTAATAAACAAATAAAAAAATATTACGCCTTGTTATTGGAAATTTTTTATGTCAAATTTATTTCAAAATTTAAGCCCTGTCCGGCCCAAAAATAATAGGCTCTATCCAGAACCAATTTTTTTAAAAAATACCGGTCCCAATTCGGAACCGGCTCCTATATTTATGGGTAAAGGTATGCTGACTGATTAATTTTATAATTTCCATTTCCATTTCAATTTATAATTTATTTATCTCTGAATTATCATTTTTTATCTTTAATATATAATTGGAAGAATTGAATTATTTTTTAAAAAAAATATTCTAAATTAAAATAAATATATTAAGTATAATATTTAAAAAAAATATTATCTTAATTAGATTCAGAGTCGAAATAATATATTATTTTAATAATGATATTTTGATTAATTTCAAAAGTTACCTTTTAAAGAATGATGTTCAATAATTATTATTCATATCATAATAATTTTATATTTTATATTTCTCTACTATTTATTCTCAAAGCAATCGCTTCTAACTTTAATATTATTAATTGGTAACAAAATCAGAGAACGAAATTTCTTTCTAATTACCTCCAATTAGTTTTTCTAAGATCAAAACTAATGAGGTTGTTGTCTATTAAAAATTCTAGAAATTTGGAAAGGCCAATATTTGTGCAAATCCTATTACTGAAAGCAATTTTAAGGATAGTAGTAATTTCTCTGATAATTTATCTTATATCAACGATCAAAAAAAATCTAAATTATTACCTTACATGGATAGCTTATTTAAATATAATGACAATTTTATTTTCTCTATTGCTTCTACAAATATTGATATACGATCTTACGTGAATTCTCTGTATTTCAATGATAAAAGTTTGCGAATTTTAGTTCTAAGTACGTCTTAATATTTATCAATGGATTTTATACAGCTATCTATATTTTGCTTATGCCTGTTGCTAGATAGGTATATTAGTCTAAAATATCCCAATTCATTAAATCGATTTAAAGTCTCCAAAATTAATGCGATATGCATCATATCCTATCCTGATTTTGTGTCACACATAATATTGGTATGATTCCAAGAGCTGTTTTGATCCTCAAAATATTAATAATCACAGTCTAAGAGACTCTAACTCAATAATATATTACAAGGTTCTTATTAATCACCCGAGTTTGATTTCTGTTTATGATTCCATCCGGAAAGTAAAGTTATCAATTTTTCCGGGTATTTTTATCTTGTACTTTGGAATATTCATCACTTAAGAACTTCGTGTATTTTTTGTTAAAAAAAGACGACGGACTCACAAAAACCGGACTCAAGATGAGAATATGGCATTAGCCAAAAAGGAATGGAAGTCAAATTTTTTACAAAATATTTCAACCATCTTATATTATATATTATATTGCATATGCATAATACCGAATATATCAGTCATAATATTTTGGGGAAAATAGGAAGTGTATTGAGTAAAAGTCATTCATGGCTAGCCTTCAATGTTACAAAATAGCTAACATTCTAGAAGTCATATTTTTTAATTTTTTCGATAACAACTTTAAATATGCCATCAAAAAAAGTGTTTAATAAGATTTTCAGAAAAATGTACCCAGGCTAACCTGTGACTGCAATAATCATGGCCTCCAGTTACAGAGTCGTAAAAGACACACCCGCCATACGGGTAGGGCCAAACTAAATTTTTAATACAGTGGCCCCAAAGAGTGACCTATCTTCCAATAATTTAGAAGTTTTTTTGGATTGTAAAAATATACTAAACAATTATAAAAAAATATTTGTATAGAATCCTGTTGTGTCCATGTTTAGTTGCTTAGTGTAATTGTTCAATTTTGAAAAACGGATAATCAAATATTTTAGCCAAAATATATTGTGCAAGCCTGTAGAATTTGCTTATAGGTGGCAGAAAGATATGGCCGTCTATTAAAAAAATAATATCTGGGCTTGCTTAGTACTATTTTCGCTAAAAATCTTAATTTTATAATTGGCTAAATTGAACCGTTCAACAACATTTAATATTGCTAATGAGAGGAGGGGCTCTGTCAGAATTCACATATAGAAATTTTATTATTATTAATTTTTTACGTATACCATATTCTTGAATTATATATAGATTAAAAAAAAATATGAATGTGTTTTGTGTCCTTTTGTTTATAAAAATTGAAATCAAAGGAGTGGCTAAGAAGTGTAGCCCTTTTTAAATTAATTTAACAAAACTCGGTAGTGGAAAGGAAAGCTCCTCAAAAGAGAACGTTAACCACTCTGCCCCATATTTGATTAAAATAGTCTCTCCTATTTTTGTTTATATTAATCAATTTTTATTTTATGTTCATGAATTTAATATTGTATATAATAATATTATTGGTTATTATATTAGTTTCTCTTATTTATTTTTATAATAAATAAATTTTATATATATTCTTAACTTATCTAATATATAATGAACAAATATTTTAAAATTTGTAAATATTTAAACGTTTTACTTAATACTCGAAATCTGCATCAAATTTTGACTTGTAAAAATATGAATAATATAGAAATAAAGATTTAAATATTTAAAAAAAATAAAATAAATAATGATATTTTAATAAAATTCAAAAATTCAATTTTGACCGATATTCGATAATTGGAATTCAGATCATATTCACATATATATTTATCTCCTATTTATTGAGCTTTAACAATCGCTTTTAACTTTAGTATATTATTTGGTTATATACACATCATTCAACTATAATGTTATAACGAATTTATTTATATTACTTCCTATCTTTTTTAAAATCAAGGTGAATAATGTT